GCCCCCCCCCCCCCCCCCCCCCCCAATAGTACTACTGTAGAATCATTGATTGCTACCGCTATCGCTCATTTGCTTAACGAAACTCCTTCCTCTTTCACTTCCGCCCATCATCCTTTCTGAATCCTACCCCTTTCGAAACTAGTGCAGTTAAATTTGAACAACTCGTTTTTCTTGGACGAGCACAATCTTACCCATCTTCACGTTACTGATCGGATATGCACAAGGTTTACCTACCTTTCCACTTTCCAGTTCCGCTAAGAAAGCAGCCTTGAATACTACTGTGAGATAGAGTGGAAGATTATACTCGTATTTTGGATTGTATGGAAAAAGCTTGTTATTATGTTATACACATGTGTATAAAAAAGTACCCAGTGGGCAGCATTTCCTTCAATAGTTCATAAGAAAAATCAAGTGCAAGAATAAGTATGTACTTGTTCGAACTTCTTGCAGCCAATATAATTTAATATAAAGGATGTCTGACATGACGGATGACCTCAGACCAAGGACGTACTTTGGTTGTCCTTGCCTCAGACCTTTAAAAAAATTGATTGAGAGAATAATTAGCAGACAGGAAAGTAAGATACATCACATGACGATTCTAAGAGGAGAAAAAAAACACCTTTCAGAAAAAACCCCCACAACAACTCCACCGACTTAACACCCTCCTAATCCCCACAATCCCAAACCACAACTAACACCTGATCTATCCTTTTCTTTCCTTCAATTTCCACTGTTAAATTATTTGTTTCTTCTTTCCGCCCATCCACTCTGCAGGCAAATCAACGTCTAGGAAAGATCCTTATAGGACGGCATACAACTGGAGAAAGGAGATGTCCTTTCAGTTGATCAAGAAGATAGACCGGGCCTGCGAGGGTGTGTACGAAGCCATGGGTTACCGCACTTTCTCAGATGAAGACGAACTCAGAGATATGACAGTGTCTGCCAAAATAGACGACTTTCGAGATCACAGAATTCTCCTTCGGCTCCTCTCGTAACATCTCCAACCCCTCTCCCTCTCCCATCCCTCCAAATAAATATAAACCGACTGTGAAAGTAATTTAACTACATTTATATTATGCATGTTGTTTCTTTTATCCAAGGGGTCCTCTCCACTACAGTCGGCCATCGGGTGAAGGGGAATTCGTGTACATAGAAGAATGGCTACTGTTTGTAAAGTAGGCATTAGGCATTGACACAGACTTATATCACAGCAATAAGACTAATAAGAGGTTCAGCCCCCCCCCCTCCCCCGGTGGGAGAATGGTGGCGCATATGAGCGTTTGTTCTCGGGTATAAATTGATAAATTGGGGGACATTTTACTTTGGTATCCGTCTTTTAGCCTTCTGTCAGCTTCATTTTTCTTTCGTCTACTCTTGTTGCCTGGCGACGTTCTTAATCTTCGAAATTACATCAGAATATTGTGTGCTTGGGCTAAGGTGACAAACTCAAAATTGAATTTAATACGCAGATCTAGCGGTAAGGCGAAAATTGAATAAGGCCAAAGTTGTTTTTTATCTAAATTAGTTTTTTCTCAAAAGCTTGTAGGAAATTATATGAACGTGGTCTCCCATAAAAAACACGTGCTGTTGAAAATTCGCGCAGAAAAACAACAGGCCTTCTAAAGGAATATAGTTTCTGAAGTTTATGAATTATACCGGTGCTATAGAAACTATTTTGCTTCAGATTGTACTCCCAACAGTAAAAGCAAAATGTTGAGAACTTTTCTGCCATTATTGTCATTATATATTGTTTTGTCAAGAGGGTCTAAGTGCCTATTCACTTTTTTATTTATTGTAGTATAGTTGTGCCTGAACCCCCCCCCCCCCCCAACCTAAAAAAAAAAGAAGAAAAAAAGAAAAAAAAGAAAAAGATCAAGTGTCTTTCAAAGTTTTGCATCATTTACTCAGCCAAAAGCCTTCTCCTGGTCTATAAAGACGATGTTATGTTCTTTGCTGTGTTCGATTGTTTTCTTGCATCCGTGCATCCTCTTCCCTTTCGGAATCCAAACTGAGCGTTCCTATAGATGTATATCTACTTTGATTCTTCTTGAATTTTTGTTCATGTCGATTGGGAAACAATAAAATATATTGTATATGAATGAATAAATGAAAAAGAATTATATTTTATTGATCACCGTCGGTGAAATTTGGGTTATAATAACAAAAATACACAATACATACACACATACACACAGAACCTACGTACCCACCTACCCTCTACCTGCATGCCTGCCTGCCCACCAGGCCTGGGCATTGAGTCGCTTTAGCAAAATCCGAATAATACGTTAGTGCACCTCTTCGGCGATTAAATGTGTTATAAACCGCTTCGACAAAAGGCTAAGAACCACTTCGACAAACGGGTGAACCCACTTCGGCGAACGGGTCGGGAAAGAGAGTTTATGAGTCTTCATTCGGATAATGTTGCACTGAGAATTATCCGGTTATCCGGATTTTACCCAACACTACTACCCACCTGTCTACCTGCCTAACTATACATGTACTTACTTTACCTTCTTACTTATTTTCCGACCTACCTACCTACCAACCTACCTACCCACCTACTTACTAACACACACAAATATGCCACAAAGAATACCAAAAGCACAATACCACACCGATACGGACAATTTTACACACATGTCATTGCTGGTGTCCGCTGTGCACGCTGACGTGCGCGCGCACACACACGCATGGACGCACACACCCGCATATAATAATATACATGTATGTACATGTAGATATATATGTACATGGTTATAATGTCTGAATCGTGGACACACCCCGGTGACCACCAGGGGCGAAGGCTGACTTGTTTGACAGGGTAATCAAAGTGAAACGGGATCAAATATGGCCTGTAGATATGACACAAGAATCTTACTCGAGGCGGCGACTCTGAGTTGTGAATGAAAACAAATCCGGAATTCATATTGTATGTTCAACCGCCAAAATAATCGGGAAAGTATCTTATTAAATATCAGTTCCAACTAAAATTAAATTTAACTTTAGATGTGAATACATAAACACAAAGCAAAGAAGCAGAGATGTCAGTACTAGATCTATATGTTATAGATCTACCAGTGAGTCTAACTCTTTGGTAGAACATGACAATTATCATTTTTTAAATTTCACATTTGGCTGTTTTTGTTAGCCTTTCGCGGCCAGGAGCTGGTGTCATAATCGAGGTCACGATCTGATTATAGGACGGTAAAAAGTCGAGGAAAAAAAGCAAGCACTTACAACAGTGAAGAGATTGTTAGGAGTTAGTTCCCCTCACATTTGTGAGGTAGACTCGACCAGTGTTAGTTAGCTGATATAATCAGGGCTTGAGATTGATTATAACTGTGACCCCAAAGGGGTGAACAGGGTATATGTGGCAATGAAACAGCTTAGACTGCTATGCATATGTTCCCTTCAACTATATTGGTAGACTCTTCCAGCCTCACTTTAAGCTTACTTAATCAAAGCTTGCGACTGCTTATGGAGTGGCCCGAGAGGGGTGAGGAGGCTATTTCTGTGGCTGTGAAACCGTTTTGAATGTAAGGCATACTGTTCGTTGTTGATTACGAACGTCTTTTGACATTTAATTTAAGAGGTTTACGTTTATGGATGAATTTGACAGCGACAATGTTTCAAAATTAGGAAGGGAAGCAGTGATTATTTGATTATATAGACGCTTCGCCCTTGGTGACCACCCACCTAAGGCTGTGTCACCGACATTTGCTTGACACAGTCTACTTGAGGGGCTGAACTCATGAATAACTCGGCCACTAACCTTTGCAAACAAAATGACTTTTGATTTTGAGACCTAAATCAAAGCCTATGGTATATTATTTGTATCTGTCTACTTACTTTCAACAGAAGACTTGAATAAATGACCCAAATTGAAGAAGTACGATAGAAAATACCCTTCTCTGACAAAGATAAATAAAATATTGCTTCAAAGAAAAGACATAATATCTAGATCTAAGTAACGGAATAAAATAATGAACAGACAAAATAAGAAACCCGACACCTAGATCGGTACAGTACGGTACCACGGGTTGGGAATCTGACATCCAATTGGGGGCTTTTTGTGTTCATTAGGATGTCAAAGAGGGTACCTTTATACATCTACACAAATATTAACGTTCAAGATGTTTGATAGGATAAGCGAAACCTCTTTGTTTTTTTTCTTCATTTTTTCTGTTTGTTTACCGTACTCTAGATCCAGGTGTTTTTACACCTCCAATCAACACGCTTTATAATTTTAGGAGGCAGGCGCGTCTGACCTTATACCTGTCAGGGCCAACCCAGGCTAAGAGGGGTAGGCCAACATTAACCCAGCAGAAAGAATGAGATATTCGATAAAAATTCGCCCCACTCGGGAATCGAACCCGGTTCTCCTGTGCGACAATAAAACACATATTGGCTACACCACATGTGTGGGTGCGAAACCTTTCGTAAAAACGAAATTCTTTCTTTCTAAGATTTAAAAAAAAAGGAGTAGGGTCATATAACGTCCGTCCTTAACTATGGCATCTTTAGTCTATAACCCACTTGGAGCTACCCGCCAAGGCCAACCCGGGCTGAAAGTGTACTATACTCGGTTTCAAGCGCGGTTCGTCCATAGAGCACGGTCGTGCAGTGCCGCTCAAAATGTTTTGACAATGACATTCTTTATTCATCTCGCAGGGAGAAATTTGTCTTGGTCGTTAACAATGGCAGTAGACGTTACAAAAGTTAGACTTAAAGGTGCACTCACGCAAACGCACAACAAGACAGGACATTAGGCCAAGTAAATACATGTCTCACGGGCTGGGACAACCCGCTCCGTAAAACATTCTCTCTCTCTCTCTCTCTCTCTCTCTCTCTCTCTCTCTCTCTCTCTCTCTGTTTCATTTGTAGCACTGTGTGTTCAGTAACCTGACTGCAGTTGGTACGAATGAATTTCTATATCTGTCTGTTCTTGCTTTTTTGGAAATGTATCGTTTACTGCGAGTCGATAGTTGAAATTCCGATGTCAGTGGGTGGCTATGGTCACTAAGCATTATTTCCGCCTTTCATGTTTTATGACGTAAAGCACCCACAATAATAAAATAAAAGACGCCAGAAACAAACACTAGCCAAATATTTTATCAAAACAAGGCCCTCGCTGGCGCCGTAACTGTCAGTTCTATTCTATAGCGCCGTAAAACATCTACTATGCCATGCCTAAGTTCATGCGCTGTATCTTAACATAACAGGATAGTCAACAGTGGAAATCTGACATATAAATCGCTCTTTGGGATAACCCAAGCGATGACGACACTTGTTGAGAGTTTGACGGTACATTAATATTAATAAGACGGCACATCTCAAATGTGCTCCTGCCGAATAGCGCCGAAACATAGCCCACAGTATTCAATCTAAAAATAAACGCCGTAGACTGTGCACTATTCCATGCTAAAATTATGTGGGCCCCGGAGCAATCCAGCGGAGTGCTCAAGTGAATTGTGATTGGTTCATTGTCTTGTCGCTATTTTAAGTAACTCTGTGACCGTGAAACTGGGGGAAGGTGAACGTGGCATACTTAAATCGCCGTCCTATGAGTTGTACTTTTGAACGGTTTTGTAGTGGAGTGGTGAAAGGTATTACTTGAGTGTTCAGTTCTAATGCAGGATGAATGAAATTGGCTTTTAGCTAACAAACAGATTTAGTTCTAGAAGTCGAAGCCACAAGTAAAAAGAATGAAAATAAAAGCACAAGGTCTTCCTTCACCAGCCCAAAGATCCTAAAATTATACACCATCCCATTTACTCTGCCCTTGATTATCTTCAGCCTAAGATAGCTTAATTGTGCACGCCCACTTCTTAGACCCAGAGCCGCCCCTGCTCGGTTTAGATCTGAATCTATTGTTGTAGTCTTCACCTAAGATCCCACATATTATAATTCTGGTTCACTTAAGATTCCGCTGTTAAAAAATAAACCAAACAAAGCAACAACAAATTTTTACTACACTAGTCATCCCTTAGATGAATTATCCCCCTCTGAAGTGTGAAGGGACTAAGAACGCTGCTTTCCCTGTCGTACTTTACTGAACCAACCCCCCCCCCCAAAAAAAAAACAAACAAACAACCCTTCAAAGGTCATCCATGCTCATGCATGGGATAACATTATTTATAGACCAAGACATAATACATTTACTGTTAGCAATCAGATAAAGCTGGCATCGACCCTCTTTTGTGTTCGCTGTTCCTTACACATAAAACTAGTTATGAACCACGCCTAGAATCATGCATTCATATCTTAAATTCAGTTTAAAAAATAAATTTTTCACCATTTCTTATTATAATTAAATCTTTTGACGCCTTGAAAGATTATCTTTATAATTTGGTATGTGTGATACTTTTATGATACTTGGATAAGTTTTCTTCTTATTTTGCAGTCTTTATGTCTGTACGTGGACACCTTCCCGTAAACTTTTAACGGTTTTTAAACTAGCTATAGATCTACCTGTGGCGGGGCGCCATTGGTGCAATTGGTGCAAGCGCACCACCTAACCATGGCCTTCACACCCTCCCGCCCCCTCCCCCCTTTTTCTAATTGTTCTAAACCAGTCAGTGCTCTATGTACCACATCCTTGCGATCTGTCACCCGCTGGCTGCGCCAGTGACGAGTGACGAGACAGATGGCGAAGAGGGTTTATGCTCGTCGCACCGCTTGCGGTTGTGTCTGCTGGGAGCAAGCAAAATCTTTGCACCAAAGTTATTTTTGTCACTGTAGAGAAATCTAGGCATAGTTCTTCCCGCACAAGAAGAAAGGTACACGAAACTGCTCTTCGCAGCACCAATTAGGTGCAAGCTAAAAAATTAATCCAAGTTTCCACTAGTAGTGGAGTCTACGGACGGTAACTCGGTGAAGAATGGGTATTGAAACTGTTGTCTCCCTCTATTGTGTAGCAAATCCTGGTGCTGCACGAAGTAATTTTAGAATTCTCGTAATCTTCTCAGGTTGTGAGCATAGTGAGTTATTATATTGTTTCACTTTAGTGCAGCTGTTATGCTGTCTTATCCAGAAACAGTTGTAAAAAATGTCGATAGATGTAGATTACGGGATGTCCTGCAGATTCTAATTGACTTTATCTAGACATTTTACTAGTACCTAGTGAGCCCATTGTCCATTTGCTCACTTTCCAATTATGCACCACCTTGTCAGCAACCCACGCGACGCCACTGGATCTAACATAAAACTCTTAAATAATTGAACAGTCCCTTGGCTTTCTCAGTTGCTTAGAACAGTCCGTATCACACACAGAATTTAATTTTCTCTCTCTCTCTCTCTCTCTCTCTCTCTCTCTCTCTCTCTCTCTCTCTCTCTCTCTCTCTCTCTCCTAATTTTTCGCATTCTCCTCTTTCATCCCAGCCCCACCCCATCTTCTTTGAGTGCATTCCCCCACCCGGCCCACCCCGACAACGTGGCCCAGCCCGATAAGATTCTATAAAAAGAAACACCGCTGTTCGTGATTTAGACCAAGACGGAATAAGTCTTATTCCGTCTTGGATTTAGACCATAGTCGGCGGCCATAATTGCTCCCCACCTCGGCGTGCTGCTCGTAGCGCCGCGAAGAGAGAGAGAGAGGAGGCTCCATTAGTTCTAAGCTCCTTGGCCTAAACTAAATTTATAACAGGGAACTGCTGCTTTTTCTTTCCTAATCCTTACTATCATCATTTTCCTCTACTTCTTTTGTATTGTCACACTCTTGTGACCCACTATTTTCGGGGTGCCTTGATAGTCAAAACAGACTTCGTGCTGTTGAAGCTAGAGAGGAGCAGACAGAGTATGTCTGATTCCCTGTGAGGACTTCTTTGTTGACATCCACCCCTTGGCGCTTATAATGACCTTATGCAGTTGCGAGCGCCGTAAGACCTCTACTAAAAAACGACTTGCCCAACACGGATTACAGTTTACGGGAAGGCGTCCACGTACAGACATAAAGACTGTAAGGCTTTGCTAACAAACGAACTAAAGGTAAAAAAAGATCTACAGAGAAGTTCGCCTAATACTGGGGTGCCCACTGCGGCTGGATCGGTAGATCGCCTGAAACTGAAAACAAACCCGTTGAGGAGATCGAGTTGGGCGATCAGCCCCAAATTGGCTGATCCATCCGTAGTGGGTAGCCCGTATAAAGTGAACAAACTTTATTTGAACAATCGGTCAAGGTAAACGATATTTATTGTGGTCCCGATTGAAACGCTATTTGTTAAAACCTAACCTTACCGTCGTGCTTTATTATCGTATCCATAGGACGTGGGGAACTCTGTGCCACCACTTTCCAAAAGAAAATTTACTTGTTATTCTGATCCGTAGCCTACGCTTTGCACTTTGCATAGCAGTCTATCAAAATGATTTTTTGAGAAATACTGAAAGTTTTAAAGAGATCTTCGGACTTGAAGTATTTTAAAATGTGAAAAATACAACCCTGGGGGTACAAACTGACCCCAGGGCGTACGGATAGGGTTAAGTAAATAAATAGTGGATAAAATGAACCGGTTTCATTTGGGAAATCGGATATGAAGTGAACTCCCAAAATGAGTGAAAGCGAAGAAATTACGGACCGACCGTGTCACTGTCGTCATGCTGTGAAAATAAAATTCTTTTCCTCGGGCATCGGCAGACAATCCCAGCTCGGCGTTGGCGACGGCAAACAGAAAGAAAGAGCTCTTCGTTCCCCGTCGTTTTATGCAAGACAAATTCTAAAATTATGCAAACTGAGCCCAAAAATGTGGAATTATGAGAATCTGTTAATTTTAACAAAGAATGATAAAGGAAAATAATCAGAAATTATGCAAAAAATGATCAAATTTTGCTAAATTATGAGGGGTGCATAAAGCAACGGGGACAGGCTCTTGTCTAGGCTTGTGTTGTCCCCCCACCCAACCTACACCATTGCGCGCAGCTACTGTTTCTGGGCCTCCACCCTACCTAAATGGTTAAACTGAACCTTTTGCTCTGGTCCCAAAGGGTTCATTTTAAGCGGACTCCACTGTACATGTAGGCCTATATGAAAACATTCATGAAAATCAGGAGCAACGAAACAAGCAGAAAGATTTGCAAGACAAGAACATAGAGAGGTGTAATGAGGTCAAAGATGTATAAAGCTATTATAGTCCTCGGATGATAATCATTCCTTAGCACCCCCTGATATTAGAATAGGTAAAATCTAACACCTAACCTTCTCAGATGACGATGTAAAAATCTTGGAGGTACCGTGTGCAAGTTGCGTACGTTAAAATCCTTGGGTGGTTCTGAAGTCGATTATAAGAGGGGGTTATTTTGACTTCGACCGCCACCCGGTAAACTTCAAGATTAATTCCACGGTGAAAATACTTTTATGCCTTAATGTGTCCCGAGCGCTTATATGACCGTATGCAGTTGCGAACACCGTAAAACACTTACTAAACTAATTACTAATTAATTACAAAATCACAGGCTACTCGCCACACTTCACGGCCAGAAAAGCGTGACGAAATAAGACAGGCCTTATAACGAAGAGCGTAGGATCTCCCTCCCCCAAAAAATCTGGGTAAATCTTCTTGTTTGAAAATAGAAACAATAATAAACTTATGATTATATTTCTATTGTGAATAAAAATCTCAAACAAAACTACTTTATCTGATGGACGGCCGGCAGCCCACAGATTGGTATTGATTCTGAAAATATATTTGACATTAATAAAATGGACTTCTCTGGATGCTGTTGCCAACTAGATCTAGATCTAGATTAGATCTAGATCTAGATCTAGATCTATTGACTTCGACGTGATCAAGAATTTTTCAAAGGATCGTGCCGTAAGTATCGTGAGCGACGGGAGATTGGTAATCTTGGTCAACTGTGTTAGAAATCTTGGAGTAACTAAAGCTAAAATCTAGGGCGATTGTCACGATTTCAGCGTTTAATTCCGATGTGCGCTTTTCAAAGCCAAGGTATGTTTCGCTTTGGTGCATTTGGAGTTAGGGTTAGGGTCAGGGTTAGGGTTAGGGCGGTAGTAAGTTAGGGTCTGGGTTAGGGTTAGGGTCAGGGTTAGGGTTGAAGAGTTAGGGTCAGGGTTAGGGTTAGGGACCAAAGCGAAACATACCTTAGCCTTTAAAAAGCGCACACATCGGAATTAAACGCGGAAATCTTGACAATCGCCGTACCTAGATCTATATAGGGAGGGAGAGGCCCTAACGTTGCGTCGCCCGCTCAACAGTTCCAACCAAGTTGAAGCCGAAGGGGCAGGGGTGGAGTTTATCGGGGCTGCTGCCATCTTTGTAAGTTCAAAACAATAGCATACGCAGCGTAATCTCTTTTCAAAACAAGCTGCTCGGACTCCATTGTCTCTCGAAATTTCTTTCTCAAGAATGTTAATTACAGCACTATAAACCCTGAAAGTGGCTATTCTCACCCGCCCGGAAGTTCTCGCAAGATCAACTCCTCCCCTCTTCTCTCTCTCTCTGTCTCTTTCTGAATACTGTCTATCGGTGTGGACGATCAAATTGACCAAAACAAAGTTAAAAAATTATGTTAAAACACAAAAGTAAATTAAATTGATTGTCTACAAAGATGCTACGGCTATTTAACTTTTCGAATCGAGCCGAACTACGCGGGTCGCCATTTTGTTTTGCCCGGAAATTCTCACGCTACTCCTCTCTCTCTTTCTCTCTCTCTCTCTCTCTCCACTGCCCACAGACAAAATTGTACGCTTTTAGTAGGCTACAGTTGTAATGGAACGTTTGTTCACGGCACAGAATTCTACAATTTTTCTGTTGATCACAGTAGAATTCTGTGGTTTAGGTTGAACGCAAAATTTGGTGAACGTGCACCGGGTGAGAATAGCCACAAGACTCGCCTGCACTATTCTCACTCCGGGTGAGAATAGAGGTGGCCATAAACCCTCACGTTCAATATTAATATTATAATAAGGACGTTAAGAAATCTTACTTGCATCAAATTACCAGCTCACTTAGTCGAATATTTACAGTAATAAATGTCGAAGTGACTATTCGGACGAGTCCGAATATGAAAAAATGTTTTTCGGACTCTGATTCTTGTCCAGCATGACATCACTTCCGACTTCCTGTGACTCGTGAATCCGGCTTCCTGTCCTGCCTCACTCGTGACTCGCCTCAGGCTGGGTAGAGACCGGGATCACTTCGGGCAAAAAGGCGTTTTGTGCAGGAGCCGAGTTTTAATCTTATGATGAATTTGAGGCCGGCCTGAAAATTTATAGCGCTTCTAATAAATGTTTATTTGTCAAGAGGTCATCAGAAGCAATTAAAGATGGCTCGTTAGCGTGTGTCGGGGTCGGATAGGCGGCCTGCACACGTGTGGCTGTGTGCGTGTCGGGGAGGGGGGCACTATCGGTCGGGCGTTGAACGTCGCATACGCGTCAGTTTTTTCCCCCCCGGCAACTGATCATTATTACAATAATAAGCTAGTCTTGACGTAGATCTACGTAATGAATTGTGCGCTGGTCTATGGAATCAAAAGTTGCCGTATGCTCAGCTATACACAGCAACACAACTTTTTCTTGGTAAACAATCAATATGACACAGGCTTGTGTATTTGAACGAATCAGTCTTTTTTTTTTTTACACAGCTCATAATATGCAGGTGCCAGGTGGTCTGCTAATCTTCAATTTTACCTTTTTCTTCAACAAAGAAAGTGGGAAACATGGGGGGTGGGGGGGGGGGGCGTATCAATGAGGCAGCGGGCATGGGATCGGCAGAAAAGGTGTGGGGGAAACTAAAAAATGGCGGAAAATTGGAAGCACTGAACGTTAGATCTGTAGAACGAAGACACTTCCTTTTTCCGGACCCGAGTCCGAATAACATTTTTTCATAATAATTTTTTTTATTCAGACTAGAGTCCGAATATGAAAAAATGTTATTCGGACTCCAGACCGAATAACGACGGCCAATAAATGTACTATGTATACACATTGTGATGGTAAGATAATTTTTTTACATGTTTTAGAGACGAAATTGGGATAAAAAGGATTAAAACAAAATTATAAACGGGATAACAAAATTTGCTGAATTTTTGGTAGTAGAACTTCATATATATTTTTACAAAAACGAAGACTTCTTGATAGTAATATAATGAGGACGGTAAGAAATCTTACTTGCATCAAATTAACAGTTCACTTAGTCGAATATTTACAGTAATTATTAATAAATGTACTATATATGTATACACACATTATGACGGTAGATAATTTTTTAAAACATGTTTTAGAGAAAAAATTGGGATAATAAGGATCAAAACAAAAATATAAACGGGATAACAAAGTTTGCAGACTTTTCGGTCATAGAACTTCATCAGTGCAAAATGGTATGGTGTCATCGCTGACATTATTTTTACAAAAACGTAGATTTCTTGACTTAAACATAGAACAAAATATATTTCTAACAAAATGGAAAATGATTACACTAAAGATGGTAGTGAGGGTGGGATGGGATGGGCGAAGAATGAGGAAGGAGAGGGCAAGGCAGATAAAAGTGAAGTGTGAATGGTGGAAATTACCCCCCCCCCCCACCCCCCCAACAAAATAACAAGAATAAAACAGGCCACCCCCCCAAAAAAAAAAAGCAAGGAGGGAGGGGCACCTTTAAAACACTCGGATACTTTATCAAAATTGTACAAAATACTGTTGAGTGTATTAAAAAAATAATATAAAATTTGAAATGATAGGCTAATTATAAGAATTTCAAAACAGATTGCATTAATTTGTGACTTTTCTCATTTGACAATGTCACACTCCCTGCACAGACAGACGACGCATGGCATCGAAAATGTTATTCACACACCAAACACACTTCAATGACATTCTTTAAAGGCACTGTCACCCCTCCAACGAGACTTCAAAAACAGCAAGGAAGTTACATTTGACACACTAGAGTCAACTAAGGTTTCACATTTTCAAATGCTTTGTCAACCTTAACAGCACAAAACCCGCAATGTAAGCAACAGTATTCTCTGAACAAATTGACAAGTATGCCAGACTAGATCTAGGCACATACGTGCAGTTATCATCATGGCAAACTGAATTCTCTTCAATCTTTTTCATTCTGTTTTACTGTGAGATGCCTTTATGGCTAAATCAGAATAGGCACTTTGTCATCAAGTTCAGTGCATTTGCTAGAGACTGATATTTAAAAAAATATTTTTCGTAGGCCTTATATAAGTGTTTTACGGCACTCGCAACTGCATAAAGTCATATGAGCGCGAGGAACACATTAAACATTTTAAGTTGGTAGGAAATTTTGAATTTTGCCCGGGTGGCGACCGAAGCCTACTCTTATTCGATTTAAGACCACCAAGGGACCTTTAATGTGCGCATTTTGCATACGGGACCTCTGAGATTTTTTCGCCCTTGTCCGAGCAGGCTAGGGGTAGATCTTTCCTACCATAAGATCAGGGGTGTGGCTGAAAGAAAGAGGTAAGAAGGAGTCAAGGAGTGGCAGTAGAAAGGCTGCAGAAAGAGTCCGTAGCCCTGAGGAGGTGGAGGCAGAAAGTGGAGACGAAAGCAGACGACAGAGAATGTAGAATTTTTTAGAACAAAATTTTTCCATCACTACTCGGATTCGAACCCTGGACCTTTGAATGAGAGGCCCACCAGACCCGAACGCTTCGCAAACTGCCATTTGGTCGACACGAAGTTTATAAGTGAGAGAACTAAGCTGATCTCACAAACATGGCCGACCGTCGTCTGTTGCGGCTTCGCGTTACGCGACTCGCGGCCTCTCCTAATTAATAGTTGCTCCTAGTTAGAAAACAAGTTCTAACTAATCTAACTTCTAGCTTAGCAAATTGGTTCTCTTTACTCTTTTTTGTTTGTTATAGAGGCCTACTAGAATCTAGATCTAGATCTAGATTTAGAAAACTAGTTGAAGTTATCTTGGATTGTATTGTAAAACGTTTCGATTCCAGCCGTGGGTTTGAATACTTGGTTGGGGTCTTTTGTTACCTCACAGGCACAGGGTACGGTCAGATTAACGGGTAAATTTCCTCTTTGGAAAGTGGGGGCAGAGCTGTTAAAGTACTTTTAAAAAAGTACTTAAGTACAAATTTAAGTACACAATCTAAAAAATGTACTTAAGTACAGAAAAAGTACTTTCCTGTAAAATGTACTTGAGTACAAGTACTTTTAAAAAAGTACTTTTGTGTACATTTTAAGTACTTTCTGCTAATATGCTAAAACTCTTCAGCGCTTATGCAAAACATCATATTAAATAACATATCCAGTATATTTGACAAATTAGGCTATTTATTACTAAAAATGTAAACTGTATACAAAGCATTTGAATATATACAATGTACGCACTGAACGAAGGTGGAAATGGTCCGTGAAATTGAAAAAAACCCCAACCTGAACGAACAGACACAACTTGCGGGTAAGTGACATTATGAACAGAACTTGTTTGAGCAAGACAAGGTGATCAAATGTAAGTCAGTCCAAGAGGTCGGAAAGTTCTACAGAAAAAGTATCCAAATTGGAAATGTAGATACAAAGTTGCTCTTAAGAAAACATAAAATTGATGAAAATGGCCAGCATAGAAATGGAAAAGTGCATTGAATTCTTCATTAACAAATCCTCAATGAAGCAATGTAGCCTTAAGCAAAAACCACAAAAAAAAGTTGAAAAGAAATTTAGGCAGCTTAAAACATTGTTAGATACCCATTGAGAACACAGTTTCAGTTTCAATTGATTATAGTGGTCAGACAGATTTTGGTCACACTGTGTAGTCCAAGGCGCCCACGACAAACCAAAATACAATAGTTTCCTAGAGTCTAGTAAGTGTAGTGTAACCAAAGATTCTCTACTACAGTAGTCTCCGCCTAAGATCCCAGTGCTCGGAAGCAAGGAAAATATGGGATCTTAGCCGACGAAGCCAAGGAAGAATCTACAGTGACCCATGAACTGACGTGACCCCTGGGTGGATTTATGACATATGGCAATCAAAGAGTGGTCAACCTTAATGACCAATCACAGTGGCATGACCTATGCCATAAATAATATATACACATTCATTAGCCGATCATGAGTCTTGAGATCTTTCTACGTCTATCCAGTTGCCCCTCCCCTTCACCTGTCCAACAATTTTAGCTTCCCCCCCTCCCCCCCCCCCAACCGCCTTTGTCGTTACGCACCATTACCTTGTGACCACACCAATTAAAATTCAGGCTGTCTCGCAAATTCGGGAATAGAGAAAAACTGCTTTCAAGGGAAGAGTTCACAGTTTGATGTGATCCCGCCTGGAGCGAACTTGTAGGCCCTACCCACCCAGTGAGTGATGTAAGGTTAGGTGGTGAGCTCAGACGCGAGTGCGATGTTTGGGGAAAAGAAACACATCGGTCAGTTCACACCTTGGTGTGATCCCGTCTGGAGCAAACAGTGTACCGTTTCATGGAGTTTTACAACGCTTGTGATCACATTCACGATAGTGGCTGATCTTTGACGCGACAGGCCGTTCTTTGATCTCAACTTTTAACTCTTGGTTGATCGGCTGTGCCCGCCCGGGTGTTTGTTCCGTAAATTATGATCAGAAATGCCGGGCACTTACCCTTTCATTAAGCTTCCAAAGTACTCAAAATGTACTTAAAAAATACTCATAAGTACTTTTATAAAAAGTATCGGAGTACAGTAAAAGTACTGGTTTAAAAAATGTACCGGAGTACAGTAAAAGTACCGAAAATTGTAACGTAAGTACAAGTACCGGAGTACTTGTACTCCGTTACAACCAGCTCTGAGTGGGGGCACAGAGTGTACCCCACGTCGTATGGATACGATAGTCTTAGTAAAACACGATGTACGAATAGTGTTTAAATAAGTCAAACAATTGGTCCTTTGAAATGCAAGCACTGGTGGCAATGGTCTGGGTGAAAGTGAAGTACGAGTAAGGGGAAGCACATATCTATAAGAACGGTATGGCACTTGATTCTTGAAAGATGTGAAGTTTTAACCTCTGTTTGCCCGCTGGACAAGCGACCATTTATCCCACTGGCTAGGACTGTGGACCCCCACCCCCCCACTCCCCCCTCGATCTCCACCTTAATTCCCCTTTCTAAAATGAAATGTTTAAGCCAGAATTTTTTTCTGGCTTCCTTGTGACGCTGTCTTACACAGGTTCGACTGTATGTATGGATGCCCCCTGAAACTTTGAACCTCCCCTGTTGCCCAGTCTTAAAGAACTCTCAAACTGCGCAATACAGTCGAACCTGCCATGACAGCCACCTGTACAAACTGTCACTCTCCATTCCCCCCCCTTGCGTTATTTCTTTCTAAATGGCACTGTAAAAAAATCACCTATTCAATGCAGTCGTGGGTACATTTTATCAACCTTCAGCCCCAAACACCTATCTGAAATGGCCACGCAAATGTCTCATCACTTGACGAATTTCATAGATTTATTTGTACCAACTCCTAATGTGGTGAATGAGCTGTCGTTATCCATTTCACCTGTTATTATTGTTAGTCCTTTCAATGAATAAGAATATACTGATCTTGTTTCCAAGTTGTTTTAGTTTGGTAAGGTTTTTACGGCACTCGCAACTGCATAAGGTCATATGAGCGCCAAGGGGTGGATGTCAACAGAGAAGTCCAAACAGGGAACCAGGCTTGCTCTGCTCTCCTTTCTCTAGCCTCAACAGCATAAAGTCTACTTTGACTGTCGAGGCACCCCGGAAATAGCAGTTCACAAGAGAGTGACAAACATACAAAAGAAGTAAAGGAAAAATGACGATAGTAAGGATGAAGAAAGAGAAAGCAGCAGTTCCCCCTGTGTTGTTTCGGTACAGTATGAGTATGAGCATGACATTGAAAAATGAGCCCATTTACAATTCTACTGTGCATTTGAACATGTTAAAAAGACACTGGCCTGGGGGTGGGTGTGGGGGGGCTTACCCAAGTTGACCTGGTGAGGGAGGTGTGGGGGGGCTTACCCAAGTTGATCTGGTGAGGGAGGTGTATAAACTGCCATAACATAATCAAGCTGCCCTGCCCATAAGTGTGAGATGAGCAGTTGCTCTAATTATCTCTGTACTGTCTGAAGCTCAGGCTGTATATGAAAAAGATGAAATCTTCATATTTGGTATATCATTCTCTCTATGATAAAATGGATTTCTTCATAGTTTTTACATGCACCTGATATTAAATTTTTGTTTTGACTAAAAAGGAATTTTTATCCCCTCCCTCCCCAGTCAAAAATATTGACCGGGCTGAAGACAAAGGTGTAATTGTTTCTGCCCTCTAGGCCTCTACGCTCTGCTGCAATAATGGGGCAGGAATCTGTTAATTCCAAGCCATTGTCACCTCAAACAGTCCCAACTACTACAATCCAGCAGTCTAAACAAGAAGAGCTTATAATAAAAGTTAACAATGTGCTGGTTTCCCTTTGTTGTTGGTAACAAGTGATAATTGTGTTCATTTTCATTATCAATATCATGGAATGTTATAATGAATGTTTTAAAAGCTTGAATCTGTATTGAGTATTGGTAACAAGAATTTATCATCTCAGGGCCATCATTATTTACCTCTTTGTGACCAATATAATGTACGCTTTTCATAATTATTTGGGCAAAAGAGCTAAGATGCTGCTGTGACGTACAGCGTTTGTTATGCATTGGGAAAACAAGGACTATGATGATGAACGCTGTTCTTCATAGGTTGCTTTCTAATTGCTTCTTTTAAATATGTTTCGTTAAACTAATTGCAGATTCACATTCAGTGATATTTTTTCCATACAATGAAATCCTTTCCGTTTAGAGATCGTATTTACAAGATATTTACAAATCAGATCTAATTTAGGCAACAGACCACTAAATCTAGAGCTGCTCTTTGTCCCTGGGGATCCAAAACCATGCCCATTGAAACATGAACTGACTATTTTGTCACAAAGGGATTAAGAAGTGTTCTTTATTTGGCTGAAAGAATAATATAATTTATTTTATCTTATTATTTTCCTTCTATGCTTCCTGTGTATGATGGTTTCAGGAACTTCAAAATTTTTCTTTATTTCTTTATTTGTAAGAAAATAATTGCAATTAATTGCTAATCTTCAGGAAGTTAAAGATACATGATTTTGATGGAATCCGTCACAGGTTTATAATATAACTTTGCTTTTACAGGCTGATTCTATGAACGACCATGGATTCAGAGAAAATCGAAAGGCTGCGAGAGAGACTTCTTCAGTGTGCAGTGTGTATGGATGAATATAAAGATCCAAGAATATTACCATGCCACCATACTCTATGTTTTGAGTGCATAGAAAGTGTTGTCCAGTCCTCGTCTGCTTCTGGTCGATTTTTCCGCTGCCCCCAATGCAGGTCTGATGTCTGTGTTCCCCGTGGAGGAGTGGGGGATATGCCGATTAATTTTTACATCATCAGTCTTCAAGATGAGCTTGGAGCAAAAGGTAGTTTTTCTTACCTCCTTTTATTTTACGGAAAAAGGGATGATGTTCGACTGATATCTGTGGTGTAGTGTTTAGGTGCTTTGTTGTGGCATGTGGGCCTTTCAAGTCCTATTCTCGAACGGGGAGAATAAAAAAAAAAATCTAGGTCTTTCTGCTGGCATGTTGTATCCCTTTCAGCCTGGTTGGACCTGACAGGCAGGGTTGGGAACCCCCGTCCTAAATGATCTAAAGTGTGTCAATGTGGATGTGATTTTAAAAAAAGATGATGTTTGAAATGTAATAAGTTTTTAGCTTGTGTCATCTGCAGGCTATTAGGAAATCCTTCTTTTTATTATTAGCCTGCTCAGTCACTACTCTCTTAGTAATGATTTTTCTAATGTTCCTAATTTTATAGGCCGGGAAGGAAGGTACAAAATATGAAAATAGAATCTCAAAATTTATGTCATATTTTTTTGGGATAATATTATTATAATTTATTAACTTGTTATAAAGTGTCGTTCAATTTTTGTACACGTTTGGTCTTTAATCATTTGCCCAGTCGTTGACCTTGTTTTGTTTTTAAACTTTTTGTTATCAGTCAGCATCATGTTGATAAGGGATTATGAATTATGATAACCAAGAAGACACATGGTCTATATTTTTTTGATAAGTCTGCTCGTTATGAAAATGGTCCATGTTTGTATGACTGAGATCACTAGTCCTCTCTGGTGGTTTACCGTAGTATATTTTTCTCCTCTTTGATGTCTTAAAACACTTTGCATATATTGCTTTACTTTATGTTTGTTTGTTGTTGTTTTTTTCTACTAGATTTTGGGATAAATAAGAGGAGTTTGGAAAGATTTTTAAAAAGAGCTGTTGAAGCTTTTTGTTGCAGCACTTTTAATCTTTTTTTCATTACTCTTTGTAATCTAAGTAAGAACACGCTTAATAAGAGCTTTTTATTTTTGCGTTAGTACAGGACTTCAAACTTTACTGGACTTATTTTGTTGATCCTCCATTTCCATTCTATTTTTTTCCTGCCATACACAAATGTAATGGCGGCCTTTGTAGTCTAGTGGTTAGGCTACTGGATCTGTAATAGTGAGATTGCTGGTGTGGGGATTTGAAATTCGGCATGGTCTGACGTCTCCTTTGGAATTGCATTTTGCATGAATTTTCCCATTTTTCCTCTAGGTGATAGACATTAAATCGGAGGTCCTACCTCCCAAATAACCTCACAGTGTTGCAATGGGCACTTTAAACCTATACAATTTTGTAGTTTTTTTCATACACAGTTACCTCATACGAGATACAGTTATACATATTGGCATGTTATAAATTTTATTTATGGGACACAGCTGGCTGGAAGTGGAGAAGTTCACTTAGAACAGAGACAGATTGAGAGCTCCTCTTGGTAGCCTATACTCAATATCAGGGTGAAAGAGGTGAATAATGATGATGATGATGAGATACAGTAATGTCTTTTACTGACTTGTATGAATACTTTGAAAGTTTGATTCTTAAAATTATTTCAGTTAAGCCCAGTGGTTAGTGGAATCTATGTAAAAAAAACCCAACTTCCTGCATCTTTAACTTTGTAATTCTTTTCTTTGTTTCTCTCATTACAAAGACTTCATGTAATAATTTGCAACTAATCTAATCAATATTATTGTCTGTTTCCTTTTGCAGGATATGCAGGGAACTGTGATATCTGTGAGCGTGATTGGCTAGTGTCGCAATTTCGCTGTATTGACTGTGACCTGGACATCTGCAGATTCTGTATTCATGCACATCGGCTGGAGACTCACACTGAACCTCCAAAAATCTTGAGAATTGAAGCCAAAGCAAATACTTTTCAATTTGCTTCAAATCGTGTTTGCAGGGAACATGCAGACGAAATACTTCAGATGTTCTGTTGTACTTGTCACGAAGCCATATGCGTTACATGCTCTTGTGGTGATCATAAACGGCACAATGTGGTTCCTATTACTGTTAAACTACAAGAATCTAAAACATATCTACAAGCAGAATTGGACCGCCTCACCACAGAGAAACGAAGTGCGGTTAAAGTTGCTGAGCTCATCCAGAAGACCAAAGAAGAAGTGGTGGAAGTGTCAAATCGCTCAATGCTCGCTTTGGATGCTGCAGCCCATAGAGCCTGTGCAGCCATCATGAACAGAAAGTCAGAATTGAACAAGCAGATCCTGCATTCAGAGAAAGGGCAGGTGAACAGCATTGCTGATGCAATGAACGATTTTAAACTTTACACTCAGAGACTTGATCGTGGTTTGGCTTTTTTGTCTGACTTGCAAGATAATGACATATGTTTGGAGGTTGTGGACACATACAAAGATTTTTCAAACAAAATGGAGTCGATGCGGAAGACTTTTGCATCCAATCACGTTCGTTTACAACATAATATTTTCACAGCTTCTGACCATACAAATACCATAAAGCTTCCAGGTGGACTCTCAGACCATTTTATCTTTTATGGCAAGCTTGGACACATGTCCTGGAAATCCTTTTGTTTGTCTATAGATCCAAGATCTTTAACAGTAACAAAAAGGTTAAGAGGGGTGTCTCGTTTATCAGAAAGTGTCATAGTTAAGCGTTTTGCTCAATGTATTTTTGCTTTCATTGTGTGCCAGTTTATTCTTTTCATTTGGGACACCACAGGGGCTTATGACTTGATAAACAGCCAGTTTTGTGCCTTATTATTAGTTTTGTCTAACATGCTGAACTGGTAAAGTCCTTTGCGGAGAAATTGAAAGGGACTGCTGTTCTCACTAGTAGCACTGCACCTTTTTGTTCATCAACATAGATGCCAGATCATCAAAGTCCAGATCTTCCATTTTCATTGCTAGTGTCCTTTGAATCCCTCTGGCGTGTTGGGAAGTGTTTTTTTTTCATAATCCAGTGTAATGTGACTTGGAACAGGAATGAGGTCAGCTAACTACCTTACCTAACTTTTTGTCTCTATGTCTCCAATGGATCGTTCAGTTGTCCTCCATTCACATTCATGGGCTGCTGGAGGGAGCCACGAGTAAGACCTGGAGGTTTTCTTTCTCTTACTGGTATATACTTGAACTGTTTGTCTATCTTTCGTTATCTGTGCAAAAAAAGAGACATTTTTCATGTGCATTTTGTTTGTTCAAATCTTGATCAAAACTATTCACAGTATTATTAAACTACCATACTGGTATTCGTAAGAGGGATAACGGGTTTATACCTTTGTAATCCTTACTTTCCTGGAAGTTTCCTTTCTTTGGCATCCTAACAAAGTATCATTCTTTTCAGTTTTGGGGTATCTTGCCTTAGTCCCCCAAAGTATTTCTCAGCCATTGTGTAGTCTCAGCAGATGTTTCTACCTCTGGTTTGATTACTTGCTGTAGTATTCCTTCTCAACCTAAGGCTTTGCCTGCTTCTGCAGAGTTAATGATCTTTTTCATATTTTCTACATCTGTTTTACAGGTTGAATATCAGGGGATAGTGCAGGCTCTGATCTATTCAGAAGTTTCCTGAAAATGTTCCACCCATCATATATTCTGTTTCTCTTCGCTTGTAACAATGTTTCCATTCTCGTCTTTTATTGACATGTCTTGATTCTGGAGCTTATCTTCTCTTCTTTCTGGTCCTGTTTACCCCTACCACAGTTCTGGAACCAGTTGCCTTCTCTAATTCCTTTACCAATTCTTCTGTGTAGCTTCTCTTATTTTCTTTGACATTTGCATTTGCATCTTTCATAGTTTGAGAGTATTCCTTTAGAGCCGCTCTAGTTTTGTTGTTGTTTAATACATCTTTCTTTCTTATCCTAAGTCTTAGGTGCTCATAGTGATTCTTGATTTGAACCAGTATCTGTGGTGCAATAGCTAGGCTTTTCGCAATTGCACACAAAGGACATGAGTTTGATTCTCAGGTTGAGGAATTTATTTCTTTGAGCATCTCTGTCTTTTGCTAGCTTTCTAATTCTTACTCTTCCTTGATTGACCTTGGCAGGCAGAGCTGAAGTGGCCCACATCTATTGTATTCGCAGGGGTGTCAAACACTTACTACATGGTACTATGGCTCCTGATTGCTTTTGCTCTTTTCTAATGTATCCGGCATACCATTGTCCAACATATCTTGACCGTTTTCTAGTTTTGCAGTTTTACTTCAGAGTTCTTGCTTTTTTTAGGGATTTCCTTCCTCTGTGGCTGCCAACACTGGCAACATGTTCTTTACAGTGTTATTTTCTGGGATATGTCCCTTTATGATTTCACTTTGCATTTGAGTCTGCAGTTAGTGTTGGAGGATATTTTTCTACTTTTCAAATGAGTTTTTCCAATCAAATATAAATAGTCTAATATGACTTCTGCTTCCTTGCATACTGAAATTTTGAGAATTTCTAAGGGTCTTGTTACACAGATGTGGTCTGTCTGATGCTCAGTATAGTTGCCTGATTATTCAATCATGTTTTGAATCTAATCAAGTGGCAAGATACTTCCTGTTATCAAACAGTTTCCCTTTCTCATTCATGTCACCATCCCTTTGTCAAATGTAAATTAGTTAATGTTCATAGCTTTGGTATGAAATATTTATATCAAAACTATTGAAATGACAATCATTCATATATATATGAACCCCCCCCCCCCCAACATTTTCTTTGGCTATGTACCTGTAGCACTGCATGCTTTACTTATTTTATTTGAACAATATAATCTTTATCATAAATTTTGTATGACCTTGACATGCCCAGAAAAAGAGCTGTGTAAGTAGTTTATAATTAAATTAATACAGTATATGTACTGTCTTGTTCATACTTTGGTAATAATAGTCTTTACTTTCATTTCTAGATAGAGGCTACTTGTTATCGACCTCTAATTATACTTCTTTTCTTTTTTAATGGTAATGGTAGTTCCTCCTGGGTTCTTATTTAGTTTTACCTTTAGAGATTTTCATTTTTGTTGCGTTAATCACAAATGGACTTTTGTTGACAGATGATATTTCAGTATCTTTTTTTATTTCTTGCATAACTGTTACCATAGCCCAATTGTATTTTTTATTTGAACTGTGGGTGATTTTTTAAAATCAGTTTGTGATCTATTTGATAGTTTGTTTTTGTTGTGCCGGCTTTCTTGGCAGTCTACTGTAAACCCTGCTTGATTGATCACATTCTACTTCTATGATCCAGGCTGTCGGCAGTAAGTTCCACCTGATTGGCCAGTCTACCTGTGCTGAAAGGTGGGGTAGGGATCGCAAGTGACCAGGCTCTGGGTGCATTTAGATCAAAGGTGGTGGTGTTTACTGTTGCGGTGTATTGATGGGTGGACTGTTTCATTTTGCAATGGTAAAGATAATTGACAAGTGAGTTATGACAAAAAGTGACTAAATAGGATGATGTCGACGGCCAGGCACTGGATACATTTAGATAAAAAACGATCATAGATCAAATGTGCAAGTTGCATTTAGAAACTGAGAGATTCAATGTTTCATTCACGTGCATTTTGAAACCTGAAAAGATGTATTTGAAAGAATTTTAAAACACCATCCTTCCTACAGAAGAAGCCTCCAAGACAGTCCCAAGCCTGTATAATTAGTATAAAAACAGATAGACCATCAAGCAGAACAGTTGTCAGGCTGGTTAGGTGGTAGACAATCAAGGAGAACAGAAGGATTGTGGTACAGATAGACCATCAAGCAGAACAGTTGTCAGGCTGGTTAGGTGGTAGACAATCAAGGAGAACAGAAGGATTGTGGTAGACCGTCAATTGATTGGCACAGGTTTTGTAATGCCACTGTTATTTTTCTTAATTTACTTTACTTTAAATTTGCTCTTTATTTGTTTGGTTTTACACATTTTTCAGTTTATTTTTTAAAATCAGGTTTTGGATGTCAAAGCTCCAACACCATGGAATATTAAGGTTCTCAGAAAGTGGATGTGGGTATTTATTGTTCCTCGATGGAATGTGTTTCATATTTTCAAGTAGGTGGCACAATTATGGTCCCTTAATGTTTGTTTTATGCTAATGTCTTTCACCAATTTTATCTTTTAGATAAGGTTTGGAGTATACATTTTTCTGAGAATACAAAATTACATGATTTGCTGTTTTCTTTTCTCTCTTGTTCCAACTGTGATTTACCAAAAGATGTCTAACCTCTTGATTTTTTTTTTCCGCATCTGTGCAAAATTAGATCTTGTGAATACCACTTTGTTGTACAAAAATAGAAAAATTTTTCTTGCACAGGAAGACATTACGTTCTTTTCGTGATGTGCTTATATAAACATATTGGTGCCTGTCCATAGTTTTGAAAAAAAAATTACTTCCTTTTAAAATTTTGAGGTAAAGTATAGTGACTGTATAGCAAAGCTGAGTTCTGAAGAAAGAAAGAAAATCTATTTGAACTATTTGTTTTCTTTTTTCTTTTTAAGAGAAGGCAGTTATAGGGTGATTTATGATTGATCTGAGTGCCATTTCAATTTAATTTGTGTTGGTACTTCTCGTAATGAAAAGGTAGTGATTACTCCTCTGTTTTGTGGTTTACTCCTTTGGTCCATGTCAGTGAAGATTTAGTTATTATATGAAACTAGTTGGACTAAAATTTTTAAGAATGATAATAATATGGAAAAATAGTTCTTGATGATAACTTAAACGGACTTCTTGATTTTGAGCAAGAAGCTTTAGTACATGACAAAAGTGGACAGATTGGTTCAGCAGCCACCATGCAATTAATTAACCGAAAGTAAGAGCGTTTCTGTCTTTTAGCCGGAAGCATTTGAAAAAGAATCTGTTTAGTTGAATTTTTATTTTGTTTTTTTGTAAAGGTCATTACAGTGCACTTCATTCTGTTCTAGATATTTAAGTGATGCATACATGATTTGGAAATACTTTTTGCTTGAAGTTTTCTTTCCCTGTTAATCTATGAATTTACTACTCAAATATGAATATTTTTAATCTACTTTCTAGTGCAATACTAATTGTTTTACCTTGAACATCTTTCACATTTCTCTTGTATCGTTACTTGCGATGAATGAGCCCACCATATCAAATATTCTGTGACAATCTGACTTTCCTTACATTAATTTTTATAGCTTAAGTAAGTCAATTTTGTAACATTTCCATTGTACCAAAGACCAAATTTTGTCAATGCTAGGACAAGATCACTTACTTATATATGTATACACAGACTTTCTGTACATTGTTACACAAGCATTGGTGGTTTGTTCTTGTTTCAATACACTTTCTGAAGTGTTGTTTTCACAGACCTTACACAGTAAAACTGTAATAAAAGCCAAGCATATAGGTGGACCATGATGCTCTGGGTGAAAGATCAGTTGGTATTGGTATTGTGCCTGTTTTAGTTGGGGACCAGTTGAGCATTAACTTCTGAAAAGTCTGGCTTTGACTGCACAAGATCACCTCTTGACTTTGAGTAAATACTGTTTTTATTGACCCCTGTGGGGAAATTTGGTGCGCCAAGATGTGTATAATGATATGTATAATTAGAAGTTACTTTACCATCACATTTAACAGTTTTACAGTATAGACAAAACAATAATGCCATTGCTGGCCACTACAGGACAGCGCCCTGTTTTGTAAAATTGGCTTCTCATGTTTGGCTCATGGATGCACCCAGTCACTGGAGTAGTTAACCACTGAAGCCCCCAGAATATGTGAGAATAACTCCAAGACACTAGTTTTCTTGTCTGAGATTTTTCCTTCGATTGAGCGAAAGTCAGCTTTCCTCACGTAGACTTTTGTTTCTAGTTTGAAGAATTTGGACTTTCTCCCAGGGTAAATTTTCCATTTTCTAAGTGAAACCTTTTTTGATTACATTTGTAAATATTAGTCAATATGGTGGGCTTTTATGTGATGAAATAATCCACCATGAGGAAGCTAAATAGAGTCAATACTTAAAAGATTTAGACAGAGATGCCATTTTGTAGAAATATTCATGACTGACACTGATATAATGATTAGGAAGTACAGATACCCACATTGATTTTTAAAAGCAAAATAAGACAAATCCATGCTAAAAATGGTCAAGCTTTCTTGTACAGAAGCAAACACCCGGTAGTGTTGCTGTTGAAATCAGTTTGTCAGTTGACATGCGTAACTTTCTTTGTGGTTCGCTCTATTAAAAAAATTTTTTTTTTCGTTTGAAATTCAGTGTTACCATGGATTTAAACACTGTTATCGATCTGATTATATAATTTATATTACAATGTAAGTACTATAATTATGGAAATATTTTCAGACTTCTTGCTTTCTCTGTGTCTTCTGTCATGTTTGTGGGTCTTATTCTTTACTTGTCATTATCAAATCAATATGTGTTGAGTCCACTAAGTTCATATTTAATTTGCAATTTTGTAACATCGGAAAATTATGTGGTGAAATAATTCATTCTTTTGTATTTTTATATTTATTAACCATTAGCAATGTTTTTTTTTTAATTTTTACCATAGCAATACTGTATTGATTTCATGTGCAGCACTCAAATGATGATTGCCTATTCAATTCTAGGAACATAATTTTTTTTTTTCGCAATGTGATAGAAAAATGGGGATACCTTCTAAAATAATAAATGAATCTAGCTGAAATTTGGAGGAGCTTTCAGAAATACAATGTGCTACCATAAAAAAATTAAAATAGTCCATATATTTTGTCTAGATTATGTGTAGAAGAGGTCTAAAAATGAAAGTTGGATTTTTTTTCTTCTATATATATCTAAATCAGTAACTTATTACAGACTGTCAAACTAAAACATAATCAATCCCTAGCTGCATGAAAACTATCTTTTCGAAAACCTTATTTTTTTACTTCTCAGAAAATATATACTTTTCTATGGTTATTTCTAAATAATATCCTTTAACTTTAACCCTATCCTTACTCCCTGGGGTCATTTTGTACACCCGGGGTTGTATTCTTCACACTTTAGAATACTTCTAGTACAAAGATATCTTTGAAACTTTCAGTATTTCTCAAAAAATCATTTTGACAGACTGCTATGCAAAGCGTACGGACCGGATTAACGAATAAATTTCGTCCTTGAAAGTGGTGGCACAGAGTTCCCCACGTCGTATAGATATGATACTAAAACACGACGTACGGATAGGTTAAAATGCATCTGAAAAGGGTCACCCCCATATTTCATAAGTGACCTAAATACTGCCCAGGTTTCTGTGGTGACTTGTGGCAGATTTGCCCAGGTCATACACGTAGAGGGTTAAGCTTAGAACTTATTGTTACTGTATCATCCAGTAACATGCTGTGCAAGTTTACAGACAAAAGTTTTCCAAAATTGTTTGGCTGTCTTTGATAAGCCCCATTCTTTCACAAGATGTTCTTGAATCACATTTCCTTCATGATTCATCTCTGCTTTTTTCAGTAATATACATTGCTCTGGTCTTCAGAGCTAACTTGCTATGGCTTGGTCTTAGACATTTGGTTTTAAAAACAAGGAATGAATTAGTCGAATACAGTGTTAATATAACAAAATATAACAATTAAATTGTATAAGCAATCAAGACTTAATTAAGTTACTGATTGTTTCTGATTTTAACGATTTGTCGTCAGGAATGTATTGGTAATTTTGAAATGCGGGCAAAACTAGCCTGTTAACTCTTCAGCCAATCACAATTGATTTGAGCATGTTCATAGTGTTATATTTAGTACTACTTTGGCTCGCACAAATAATAATAATAATAATATAGCTAGCAACATCATATGAGACTAATGGGATTAAAGGGAGGCATATTATTATTACCACTCTGTTCCTAACGACAGATCATCAAAATAAAAAACAATCGTAGACTTACAGGTAAGTCTCAATTGTTTCTACAATTTTAACTCAACTGCCGATCACGCCTTCCATGCTTAGATGGGATTTCAGAGTTCAGCTGTGACTGCTACTCATATTCTAACTGAATATAAATCAGTGGTGGTAAAACTGCATGCACAGAACAATTCATTTTCAAATGAATTAACAAAGCTGTGGGTTTTGATAATTGCACGTTCATAAAAACACATGAATGTCACAGAGAAAACCATAAAGGTACAAAATTATGGATCAACAGGTCATATTTACTACACACGAAGAGTTGCATGATGAGCAAAATCGTATAGCCTATTTTATATGACGCATGAATAATTTGCAGTGAAATAAGTCTGGATCAGTTTTTTTTTTTTCCCCCTTTTTCCTATAGCTGGCCTTTCCCAGGGGGCAGCAGGCTGCTGCATGAGGTCAGTATGTTAGGGCCTCTTTTGGTCTGGCCCATAGAACATCTGGTGGGGGCCGAGTAATGTCTTGTTGCTGTGGTTGGCAATACAGGTTTCCGTGCGGGCACTCGAAAAGTATGTACAATACATGTCTTAAGTCGTCCGGACACATTACGGACACAAGTCTTCTGGGGTAGAGCCTATCCTATGGAGGTAGGACTGTACGATAGGACTCTTAGCGTTGCACCGTAATTGTTACAATATTCTTCTTCGTCTTCTGGAGATCAGTTTTTCTCCTAGTTTCATCAACTTTTTTATAGACTGGAGTAAAAGTGGTCTCTTTTGACCATCCAGCAACAGCCAAGATGGCAATTGTGAAGATTTCAGACTGAAAAGCACAAGACTTACTGGCATCTCTGGTACTGTGAGCCGTAAATATTAAGAGGTCTATACCATCAGCCATAGATTTAGAAAGGACTGTTTTTAAACATCTACTCACAGTGTCTCTGCCAACTAGTGTAAATGGTTTCTGGAGACTAGGGTGCAGCTTTGAGGCTCCTTCGGCTTCCATGGATATTATGGGCCTTATGATGTTTATCATGTTTATAAGTACACCTTCAGCATGTTTAACAATACATGCTTTTGTTTTCTTGGAAAGCCATGAGTACAATTGGGTCTGGGTAGTGTCCCTTCCTGAGTCTTGATCTTAATTATGAATAAACATTTTGTTTCTGTTAGATTCATGAAATTGTGTTTAAAAAATATAATGGTTTGACATCTTTGCCAAGAAAACAAAGCCAGAAACATTGTAAGTTTCTGCAAAGTTAATTCCTTTTAAATCAAAACCTCGTGGGGAAACCATGACTTTAAAGAAGTCCAGAACATGCTGCGGGTTCCACGTTATTTTACTTTTCAATGGTATGGCCAATTGGCTTTCAAATATATATGCCTTAGATCAGTCTTTTGACACCGTCAAGATTCCTGAAGGGGCCATTGTCTACTTTCAAGAAGCATGACAAGGCTGACCCTGCGGTGCACACAGGAGTTTGTCGCGCTTCACAATTTACTGGCCTTTTACTTACCTTTTCTTTTATCTTATCCGCTTTTATTGTTGTGCAAAATCTTTTCTCCTCGAGTCAAACTTTGCAAGGGGGCTCTCGTGGCTTAGAGGTAAAGGTGTTCGCCTCCCATTCAAAGGTTCGAATTCGGGAACTACGGAAACATTTTCTTCTCTCTAAAATTGTCTTCTTTCACCTCCTTTCCTGCTCTCTAGCAATGTTTTGTCATCTACTTTTGTCTCCACTCCCCCCCCCCCCCGCACCCCATCACCTCCTTTGCCCCCTCCTTTGGGCTCCTGACTCTTTCTGCAGCTTTTCTATTGCTACTCCTCGGCTCCTTCTTACTGCTGTCTTTCTTCAGCCACACCCCTGATCTGCTGGTAGGAAAGATCTGCACTTATCCTTCTCGGACAAGGGTGAAAAATCTCGGAGGTCCCGTGTGCAGGTTGCGCACGTTAAAGATGCCTTCAAAATCGAAGAGTAGGCTTCAGCCGCCACCCGGGCATAATTCAAAATAATTTCTTACCAACTTAAAATGTTTAATGTGTCCTCCGCACTCATTTGAACTTATGCAGTTACGAGCGCCGTAAAACGCTTACCACCTCCCACCCCCCCAAAAAAAAAAACCCAACACAAACAAACAACAAAAAACAAAACAACAACAACAAACTTTGCAAGGTTTTCAGACAGAGTGTCCGTTACCTCCTCGTCTACCTCATTTATTCGCCTCTCTGAGAACCAATCTCCTGCCGCACCAAACGCCCTTGTTTCTACTCTGTTGACTGTCAATGTCAGGCGCGCAGAACAGATCCTCTGGCTCGCCATCGGATAACAGATTTCCGGCCTCTTCAAGGTTAGTGAGACTCTTGGGTCGTCTCACTCATTCTCCTTGCCCGTTTTACACTTTGTATACTTCTTTTTGCGCTTTGGATTGGGCTTGGGGGGACTCACAAGAAGATGTGGAAACGGACCTTTTCCTTTTCCTTTTATTTTTTGAGCTCACTGACCTCAGCAATGTTTCCATTGCTTCCGTATTCCTTTTAAAGTGAGGACATCTTTCACTGTCATAAAATAATTGTCTGGCTGAGCAGTCTTCTTAAAATTCTTCTTACTTTATGTTTTCTCATGTTTTTGTTCTCTGCCTCGGCTCGTGGAGGGTGGAGTCAGCCTCCGTCCCCGCAAGAATTTCATCCTCATCGAAATATATAGAGGGATCATTTACAGAGACAAAATGTCTTGTTTCCATCATGATTTGTGCTTGTGGTATAAAAACCGATGAATTGTATATAATTTATAAACGGTGTTGAAAACCTGTCAAGCCACTAGGGCAATGCCGAGGAGCCCAGGGGTCCAGAATTATGCCTATGAAGGCGACACTTTTGCCCGAGAGCCGATCGAAGGAAAACCAAGACAGCGGATATGGG